TCTTTCCCTCCCCTGGCAGTTAAGAGCACGGGCCTGGTGAAGCCAACAGCGCACGCAGACGACTCGGCCTCGACACCCACCAGCGCCGCGGAGGCAACACGGCGACACACAGCCAGCGGTTCCTCTGCAGAGACCTCCAGCGCGCTCTGCCCGCGGGCCCTCCTCGCGGGGACCGTTGCAGGATGCCGCCATCTGACCCCACACCCACCCCCTCCCTGCGGCTCTTTCGCCCCTCAGTCCCTTTCTCACCCTGGTAAGAGCAGGCAGAGCCAGCGCCAGCTCCCTTCCCGTAGCCTCTCCAGATCCCCAGCTCGCTTCCTCCGCTGCCTTCCCCCCCACCACGCCACCGACGCACCTCACCTCTCCTCGTTGAGGCCACACATGCGAATCCGCTCTGTGCTGGTCCAGTTGTGCACCCCGCTGTAGAGAGGTGCTGTAGAGATCATGACAGCTGCTTGTCACCACCGGGACCTGCTGGGGCTCGCGGGGCCGCTCTGCCTACGAAAGAGAAACGCAGGACTGGTACCTCTCCCCGGGATGCTCGCATTCAGCCACGCTTCAGAGAGAGTCAGCCCCAGCTCCGAGGTACAGCGCCCGAGATGCTACACCTCTGTCCGGAAGAGGGCTGGAAGAAATCGGCGGCGCCTTGGGACGGAAGCCACAGTCTGCTCCTCCCTGCATTAAGCGACTTTATGGCCAGAACCCCTGGGGATACCCTGAGAGCTTCACACAGGCGTCTTCACACACATACGCTCCCCCTGAAAGACTCCTCCCCTTCTCCCTCCAGAGGGACCTCCAGCACCGGGTAGCGAGCCCAAAGGCAGAGCTCTACCCGAGATGCTGGTCTGTTAAAATGCTGACCTCCCCAAGGCTTCCTAGGACCTTGGTAAACCAGCACGTGGCGGGCTCAGAGGGGGAGAGCCTCAAACAAGGAGGCAGCTGGGGGAGCCCGGAGGGAGCAGAGGTTTGCCAGCAGTGCTGCCAGGCGTGCCATCGAGGGATTGTCCCCTCCCTCTGCCAGGAAGGTGCTGCTATTCGGCGGAGTTACGGGTGGAAAACGCGAGGAAATCCAGAGATTCGGGAGCATCCAAGACGCACCGTCGGCTGGGTGGAGCTTTCGAGGGAGAACGTCGCAGCCAATCGTGCAGCGCTGGGTGTTCGAGCATTAAGGCAGCTTTGCTGCTGAAGTCGTATCAGGGAAAAAGCAACGAAGGGAGAGAAGGATCCGCTGCGCTAACAAGTGGACTCGGTCGAACCACGCAGGACTGACTGCAAAAGGCGGAGAGCTGCTGTCAGAGAGCTGCCTGGTTCAGATAAATACCAAACATCCGCAGGTAAAGCAGGCACAGAGCCACGGCAACGCTCTCGGTGCAGCGGGTGAGAGTGGGAAGAAGCTGAAAGCGACACGTGATCCCAGATCTCCGTCGGTTTTCTTTTCCCTGACAAGCTCCCGGCGACACAAGCTCTGAACGGGACAAGAAGCTGCTCGCACCATCCGTTTACGCCGAAACGAGCTGCGCAGGGATCTACCGGCCAGCGGCTCGAGCGATCGGGCTGTGGAACCGAACGACTCCTCTGACCTTCCGCCGGGTATCCTCACCGCAGCCCGAACACGCCAGCGGGGATCCTCCAGACAGAAAGGAAGGGCCAGGCACGCAGGAGAAATCGAGGCAAGGCGGCTCGCTTGCAAAAAAGAAGCGACAGACCCATCTGCACGTACGAGGGCACAAGCGAGCAAACAGACTACGGAAATCGGAGGGCAGGAGAAGAGGGGGAAACCTGCTCAAAGACACACACTGTAAGATGGAAGAAGTGATCTCTCACGAAGGGGGAGCCGGGCAGACGCTCAGACAGAGAGCAGGGTCATACCCAAAGAGAATGCGAGGTGGCTTGGAGCAGGAAGGGGAGGAGTCTTTCGGTGCTTGGAGAGAAACGCAACATAAAGGAAATAGGGGAACAAACAATCTGCGGGGATTTCACCATCTTAGGCCAAACTGAAAGAAGGGGAGGAGAAAGGTTCTGCCCCTGAGCACAGCGGCAGGACCGACGTTTGGGGAGAAATCCAAAGGGACCTTCTGTGCCGCGGGGGACGGGGCCGCGTGCGGCTGCACGGTGCGGAACAGGAGCCGGAGCCGAGCTGAAGCCTCAAACAAGCACAGCTGAGGCGTGACCCGCAAATAGGTCTGGCAAGGGAAAAGTGGTAACAGGGTGGTAGGAGGAGCTGGGAGAAACCGCACGTTTGGAGCGCTCGAGTAAGAGCTGGCCAACAGAGGAGGCACGACGGCCACGAGAAGCGAGCCAGGAGGACACAGCAACAGAGACAGACACTGTCTCACGAATCCCTGGCCTCCACCCTCCACGGACGACGTGGGACACGTGCCAAAGGCAGGCATTTCGCAGGGAACGAAGAAGAACAGAAGAGAAGAAGGATCAAGATTTCAGCCAAGGCAAGGAAAAACAAGAGACGCGGTCTCGAGCACAACCTGGAGCGAACGGCAAAAGAACAGCATCCATACGATGGCGGACGCCGGGAAGTTCGCTGAGAAACGCAGGGACGAGCAGCCTCCGATGCAGCCCCGAAGCAGAAAGAGCAACTGCAGCCTCCCTGGGTCAAAGCACCCTTTTAGTCGAGTCGACAGAAGGAAACCCAGCACATCTCTCGTCTACACTGGTGCAGCCCGACACAGCGTTGAAGGGATGTGATTAAACCAGTAGGAGCCCCTTGGAGAACACAACTAGGGCATGGGCTCACGTGCCTGCCTTCGACTCGAAGAAGCTCTTGGAGAAACTGTCGAAGCCGTTCTCCCCTCTCCCCTTCAGTCCTGTCACTGACACCGCGCGGTGTCCCGGTAAACTTGACCGGGGACTTGATCTCGGTTTAAAACCTCTTTTTCCCTCCCCTCCATGGCTGGGCTGGTTTTAACCCCCACCAGCTCCTCGAGCAGGTTCACCTGGAGGGAGAGGGCACAGCCTGGCACAGCTTCTGCTCAAGCCGCTACGTCTGCCAAAGGAAGCGTATACGAAACCACAGTCTTATTTTGATTTAGCTAAATAGGTGCCCAGCCAATTCTAATTA